TTGCAGCTTCCCCTCTTGATGCTCTTCCTGGCCGGTGTCAGCGGTGCCGTCGGTGAAATTTCCTCAGTCAGAATCTCCTTGAGTTCCTCGATGACTTGCAGTCCACAGGAAGCTGGACACGCCGACCCTCTCCTTGGCGGTGACCTCCATGAATACTGCGGAGCCGTTTGGTCAAACATTCTCATTGTCCCTGATCAAGTACACTGTGCGTATTTGTGAGAATGGTCTCGCCGCTTTGCAGCTTCCCCTCTTGATGCTCTTGCTGGCCGGTGTCAGCGGTGCCGTCGGTGAAATTTCCTCAGTCAGAATCTCCTTGAGTTCCTCGATGACTTGCAGTCCACAGGAAGCTGGAAAGCGAGAAATGCATCCCGCGTGCCCTGTGACAGGAGAACACTCTCTCGGGGCGTTCCCAACATGTCACGCCGACCCTCTCCTTGGCGGTGACCTCCATGAATACTGCGGAGCCGTTTGGTCAAACATTCTCATTGTCCCTGATCAAGTACACTGTGCGTATTTGTGAGAGAATGGTCTCGCCGCTTTGCAGCTTCCCCTCTTGATGCTCTTGCTGGCCGGTGTCAGCGGTGCCGTCGGTGCAATTTCCTCAGTCAGAATCTCCTTGAGTTCCTCGATGACTTGCAGTCCACAGGAAGCTGGCAAGCTTGCGAGCTCGCTCGTTGAAGGACACGGTCACGCAACAGCCATTACGCCTCCACCCATCCTGGCATATGGAGATACCTTGTCATCTGTCCTCCTCGCTTCATGTTGCTTCGGGCGCTTTTGAGGTATGTCTGAGCATTGGCACGCATGGGTGTGCCTTTTCATGATAGGTCTTGACTGCACGTCCGCCTTCGCGTATTCCGTGCAAAAACGAAGTTGTTGTGTTTTTGAAGCGACCGAGCAGGCATCAGGATGTCGAGCAATCTCGTTCTGGCATGCTGCATCTTGACGCTGCGCCTGGCACCGAGGGTTTATCATGCTCGTCGCTGCTTCAAGCCACCGTCTGGCACGACTTGTGCGACTAAACTTCCTCAAGGCCCATTTCCGCGTAGTGACCACGTTGCAACTTCTGGCCACTTCCTGATATCGGGGATGGTGTAGTAATTAGCAGCCGGCTGGCTCTCAAGATACACTCCGGCGAAGCAGCGTGGAGACTGTGCAGCGAGGGGATAGCTCCTCTGT